AGGTTCAGATTGGAAAGCGTACAGGAGGTAATGAGTGCTGTCAGGAGTGGCAAGTCCTCCAAGCTATTTAACTTTGATCATTTCCATGATCACAGAATGCATACTTTGCCCTAACCAACCATCTGCACCATGCAGTTAATCCTGATAGGGGATCTTGGCAGCAGAGTTCTCCCAAGTGGAAAGACAACTATTGCCTCTGCTACAAAACCAAAGCAAAACAAAAACCAAAACAAACTCAACAAAACAACTCAGTGTGCTTGACCCACTGTGCGGTAAGCATCCCTTTCACGTGCCAGGAACAGATTACTACAGGATCATAGACTGAGGACGGGCGACTGTATCTTAGTAAATCAGGGAAGAAGATCGAGGACATCACACTGGGCATTCCTGGGAGGCAGCCCTATCCAGGCAGCTCTCGGGTGCGAGTGCAAGTGCTCTGCCCACAGTGGACCTGCTGCTAAGACTGCCAGGTGAGGATTGCCTTTCTCCAAGGAAGCCCGGTCTTTCCTAGGGTGTGGGTGCCAACAATGGAAAGAGGCTGCAGCAGCCATCACCTTTATAAAAAACCAAGCCACATCTGAATTGCCTTTAAAGTTCAAGGAAAACTCCAAAGAAATGTGAGCAAGGCTTTATTCCTGGCTCTCAGACCACCTTTCCAAAGAGAATCTGCGGTTCCATAGAGCAGGCAATAAAGAGGAGTCCGTACTTATCTGGGGAACACAGTTGGGGGTGTGGGTTCTAAGAAACATTCCCGACCAGTTTCTGAGCTGGGAAGTGAAGTGGGAGCTTCCTGCTTCGCCGCGAAAAACTCAGCCGGGGCCAAGCGGGAAGGAGGACGTGGTCTTAGAGTCGCCAGCTGCTAGGGTGGGGTTTCAGGGCAGCCAGAGAGGAGCCACGATTAGACAGGGATTCGAACAGTTACGTGAGACCCCGCCCACTTAGGATGCATGCACCCATCGGTGTGGGGAACGAGTCCCCGAAGTTAATCTTGGGGTCAAACTTCTCAGCTTCCACCAGAGAGGCTACTGAAGCAAAGATTACAGGTTCTAGTCTGAATGTCCTGGGCCACTGTGGGGGCCGGTGACCGCTGTCTTTTTGCCACTCTTTTCTCTCCTCCTTTCCTCTCCTCTCACGCTCCCGAATTTCGATCTCCATCTTGGACCCACTGGGGACTGACCAGGGACTGGGAAGAGACACAAAAGGTATAAAGGGAAGGAAAGGCCTTTTGGTACCCGGGTGCAAGGTGCCAATCGGCGGCGTCGCTCAGCGCAGGCCCCACCTGAGAGGTGCGGAGCCCAGGGCACAACGCTCCGTGCCGTGTCACTTCCCTCATGGTTCCCAGAGGCAGACTCTGAGGCACATATTTAAATCGTCCAGTGGTACTATTGTCTCTTTATCTTAGAGTCCGCCGGGGGCTGTCACCGTGATGACAGCCCGTGCTCCCCTTTCCACCCTCATGAACTTGCTCTCTACAGACCACGGATCTGCCTTAGTGCCCACGGATCCTGCGCAATTGGACTTGAGTGTCCCTTAACAGGCTCTGGCTATCAGAACACCAAAACCACAAAACCTTCGAGAAATCAACCGCTCATTCAGAGGCTCGCTGTAGAGAGTAGCTTTGACTCTCCCACTTTGGAGTCACACAGTTGATCACCTACCGGTTGCTACAGGCCCCAAGTGGTCGCGGGCACAGCTTCTTGTTACATTAATCGCTTCCTTGCCCCAGCCTTTCGAGCCTCGGGTCTCGCTTGAGGATGTGGCATAGTCAGTAGCCACCTAGAAATCCTGCACTATTTGAGTGTGACACCGCTGCGGGTTACAGCAGACAGGCGTGCCAGGCTTCTACTCCAGATACCCACCCCCACCCACCTCAGTAAATCTCTAGTGTTGAGGGAAGCAAGGCTTGCAGGAAGCCGCTCCGGATGTTTGCTTCTTTACATGTGGCATTTGTGGCTGGCTTTGATAACGTTGCGAGCTCGGCTTCCAACACCCATTTAGTGAAGAAACTGAAATATGGTCCACTCACAACTGCTGGCGGTCTGAAGTGTGGTTGCCCCTAACACTCCTCCCAAAGTGTCTATCAAGAGAATGGTCAGCAGAAGTTAGATCTAGGTATGGGAAGGGGACTAGTCATGGGAAAGCGCCACATTTCCTGATAGATTTGTTAAGTAAAGTGCTACATAATGACTCCAGAAGAGGCTGTTTTAAGAAACGGAGAAGATCCCAAATGTGGACGCTTGGACCCCTAATGCCTTTGTGCTTTCCCTCAGTAGTTAACCTTCAGGGATGAATGTAAATAACGCTGCCACCCCTCCCCACGCTTTCTTTCCAACCACTTTCTCAGTATGCTGGGTTCCCTTCACAGAGCAAGAACAGAACGAGGAACCCAGGTAAAATAGTGCAAATACATTTTCTAGATCTACACCTGAATTATATTTCTGTTGTCTCTTAGCTTTCAGAGAATCAACCAAAACAGGGAATACAGAGAAAATGCCTACTGGACCCACTACTGTTTTCAATCTTCACTTCAAACAAAACCCGTAGTTTGTATTTAAAAAAAAATTCTCGGAAAGAGAAAATTCGGCCCTGAGATCTTTGAAAAGATGTCGATTACTAAATACAAAAGGAGAATCACTATGGAGGTGAGGGCCTGCGCCCCTGCTTCTGAGAGACAGGAGAGACACGGGGAAGACTGTCTCAAAACAAACAAACAAATAAATAACAGAAAGGATAGATTTTTTTTCTTAGAGAGTGCCTGGCTAGAGAATTGATTTGTAATATTGCTAACTCTACCCTTATACTTTCCTTGGTTAAACATCTGAAATGCATTTTTTGTTTTACTTTCAAACCAATGTTTTTCAGAAAAAAACATAAAGCTTTGAGGAAGAGTGCATTATCAGTTAGATTTAAGACCAATTGCTTTTAAATCACCAATTTAAAATAGTATTTTCTTTGATTTCTTAAAACAGATTTAATTTTACCCCTTTTGTATGAATCGTACAGACCTGGAGCTTTAACTGATCTCTCTGCACAACTTCCAGCTTTAAATGGAAGGGAGGGTCACCATTGTTTTGTAACATAACAAATTAGAGAAAAGTTGGCTTCTGCATGACTTCTTTGGAGACAAAGTAGTTCCAGAAACTGTAGGCCAGGAGCTAGCAAAAGCTCTGTGCTTTTTGGAACCTCCAGTAAGCCAGACTTGGTCTCTGAAATAACACAGAAGAAAGCCTCAGCATGTTACCTCATGGACCACAAGTAAGTGATACCTTTCAATCAGCCTTCACAGTAAAGAAAGTCTGTTTTGGAAAAGGATGTGTTGAGTTCCTTCCTTCCTTCCTTCCTTCCTTCCTTCCTTCCTTCCTTCCTTCCTTTCTTTCTTTCTTTCTTTCTTTCTTTCTTTCCTTCTTTCTTTGTTTCCTTCTTTCTTTTTCTCCCTCAAGACAGGGTTGCATGTAGCCCAGGCTGGCCTCTAATTCCATATGTAGTTGAGGACGATCTTGACCGTATTTTTCTGCCCCCATTTCTCAAGGGCTGGGATTACAGAATCACTGGCATTAGGCATCTCATAGACTGTCTTTTCTGCAGAGATGTACTAGGTGAGCATTCTAACTGAGCTATATCACCTGTCCTTGCATTTTCCTCCCTTAAAACTACACAAGGATGACTGTTGGATCTCTTAGAAAACAAAACAAACTCAAAGGCAACAGAGAGCTTTTGGGGCTTCTGGTCTCAAGGAGGGCTGCTAAGTGTATGTGTAACACCCTCCCAGAGTCTGCCTTAGCACGTGAGTCTCAGTTTCCTCTCCTGGAAGCTACAATGCTGCCCTTGAAAAAGACTACATTAGGGGCTAAATGAGTTTGCTAACATTTGGAGGGTGCTAAGTAGTTTCGGGGATAAGGACTGTAGGAAGGCATGCTTTGAAGCCCGTGGAAAAGTGCTTTCAGGTTTGAAATAAATTTAAGGATGTTTGACTTTTCATTCCAGTCTTCAGAAATATATAGGAATCTTTTAACTACCCGTCAGGGTAACCGTCTTAAACGTTATGGATTGTGCTGCTTAAATGGACTTTTCCTCCGAGGAACAACATCACAGTGTCTTTGCACTTTGTTTTATATCCTAATTTTGTGGCGTTTGGGATGGAGGCACGGCCTCTTGCAAGTCTTTAGAAATGAAACCAGGTCTTGCCTCTTTTGCCGAACACACATGAGCAGCTTTTGTTTTATGTTTTTATGTTTCATACTGAAATTCTTCATGGTTGACTTGAACTCTTATCGAGTAGTGAAATATTAGTGGTATAGCATTTTATATTAAACTTTGTTTTTATTACAACTTTTTATTTACCTTGAACCTTTTCATTATAATGTAAGCATGATGAGTTCTTGAGAGAAGAATAAGATTCCCTCCCCCCCAACCCCCGAAAAGTCATGCGAAGTTAATTGCCTTCGGCAATAGTACTTTTTTTTAAGAGAATGGAATAAATACCTATACCTAGTATGTTGATATGAACAACCTTGGACTAGTGCTCCAATCTTCCGTTACAATGATCAGCACCTCCAGATATCTGAATTTCAGCCGTCCTATTTCCCCGGGAGGACTTGGCGCCAGAGCCCGGCTCCAGCCAGTTTTTCCCCCTGGCAGGTATAGCCGGAATACTCTGCCGGGGGAGGGGAAAGGGGCGGGTGTGGGACTTGGGACGCGGACCACCAGTTGGGCGGGGGCCTAAGGACTAGGGTCCGGCCCGCCCCCGCCGCGCCATTGGCCGGGTCCTTAAAGAAAAGGGCCCGTGGCCTGGGGGACACCCGCGGTGTCACTGGGTAGATCTCCAGTGCGCGTAACGCTTCGGGTTAGGACTACCCAGAGGAGCAACGGGAGGGTCGCACCCGCTCAGCTTTACGAGTTCCTCTGGGAATCTCCAAGCTAGCTTCCCATCTCTGCCTCAGGGTAGGGGGAAGCGGCGTGTCCCTTGCCGGTAGCAGAGCGCGGGGTCGGTCTGGAGCGCCATGAGCAGCCCGGATGCGGGATACGCCAGTGACGACCAGAGCCAGCCCCGGAGCTCGCAGCCCGCGGTGATGGCCGGGTTGGGCCCCTGTCCCTGGGCCGAGTCCCTGAGCCCCCTCGCGGATGTAACGGTGAAAGGCGAGGTGGTGGCGAGTAGCAGTGCGCCAGCCGGGACGTCGGGCCGAGCCAAAGCTGAGTCTCGCATCCGGCGGCCGATGAACGCCTTTATGGTGTGGGCCAAAGATGAACGCAAACGGCTGGCACAGCAGAACCCGGATCTGCACAACGCAGAGCTGAGCAAGATGCTAGGTGAGTCGGACCAGGGAGATCCAGGGCACCGGCGCACTCCAGAGAATCGCGCCTCTCGAGTCTAGAGTTGTCTTGCGCCCCACACAACCGGTGTGCTGTAGACTCAATCCCTTCCTCCAGGTCCCTCTCTCTCCAAAGTAACTCTTGGTTCTGGTGTTTGGGCCCTACGAGCGAATATAAGGGTTTCTCAATACTTCAGAGCAGTAACCCGCTCACCCCTGGCTCGACCCTTTCCCTGATCAAGGGACTTTGCCAGTTTTTCGAATAAAGGGGAGAAAGGTAAGGGAGGAATCCCCTTCTAGAGGACGCGATCCAAGACTTTCATCCTAATACGACCGGGCTTCTCGCCACGGGAGAGGGGCTAGGGTGCGGGAGCTCACCCGGGTAACCCTGCACGCCTCTACACTTTCCCTGCAGGCAAATCCTGGAAGGCGTTGACCTTGGCGGAGAAGCGGCCCTTCGTGGAAGAGGCCGAGCGGCTGCGCGTGCAGCACATGCAGGACCACCCCAACTACAAGTACCGGCCGCGGCGGCGCAAGCAGGTGAAGCGCATGAAGCGGGTGGAGGGAGGCTTCCTGCACGCTCTCGCCGAGCCTCGGGCCGGCGCGCTGGGTCCCGAAAGCGGCCGCGTGGCCATGGATGGCCTGGGTCTACCTTTCCCAGAGCCCGGCTATTCGGCCGGCCCACCGCTGATGACCCCGCATATGGGCGCCCACTATCGCGACTGCCAGGGACTTGGCGCGCCCGCGCTGGACAGCTACCCTCTGCCCACTCCGGACACATCCCCGCTGGATGGTGTAGAGCAGGACCCAGCTTTCTTTGCAGCCCCTCTGCCCGGGGACTGCCCAGCGGCGGGAGCCTACACTTATGCTTCCGACTACGCGGTTCCCGCAGAGCCACCCGCTGGCCCCATGCGAGTGGGGCCGAACCCCTCCGGCCCCGCGATGAGGGAGATCCTGGCGCCCCCCAGCTCTCTGCACCTGTACTACGGCGCGATGGGCTCGCCCACGGCGAACGCCGGGCGCGGTTTCCACGCGCAGCCCCAGCAGCCGCTGCAACCGCAGGCACCTCCGCCGCAGCAGCAACACCCGGCGCACGGCCCGGGGCAGCCTTCGCCTCCTCCCGAGGCTCTGCCCTGCCGGGACGGCACGGAACCCAGTCAGCCCACTGAGCTCCTAGGGGAGGTGGACCGCACGGAATTCGAACAGTATCTGCACTTTGTGTATAAGCCCGAGATGGGTCTTCCCTACCAGGGGCACGACTGCGGTGTGAACCTCTCAGATAGCCACGGAGCCATTTCCTCTGTGGTGTCCGACGCTAGCTCAGCGGTCTACTACTGCAACTACCCTGACGTTTGACGGTTGCCGACCCGACCTTCAGGCCAGAAGCAGTGTTACACACTTCCTGGAAGCGCTAAGGAAATCCTTAGCGTCAAGCTGTTTTGTTTTTAAGTTGCGTTGGCATATAATTTATGGTAATTTATTTTGTCTGCCACTTGAACAGTTGAGGGGCTACATGAGATTTTTTGTTTCAGATGCCTTGAGGGAGTTGCTCCCTACAACCACTGTCCAGTTTTAACCAGTTTTTAATATCTCACCAACTTAATTCTATTTCTTGAAAGTTTCTTGATCCAAAGAAATTGTGTCATGCGTGCTTTCTCGATCTTAAATAAATCCTGGAATCTTTTAAAAAATCCCTATCACATTGGTTTTATCAAAACTTAATTTAAAGATCAACAGTAAATATACAATTAGAAGTGTATAGTTAATTGTAAATTTTCCATTTTCTTACAATGGTACACCCAAATGTATTTATGAAACTCTAAATACAAACAGCAGGGTGTTCAGATGTGATATAATTGTTCTACAAAAAAATTCTCATAGAATGAACTTGCTATGGACATTCCAAAATATTGATTTCTAAAAATAATACTGTAAATGTTTTTAATTCTGTACATATAAAGCTTTGAACATAAGGCTTTTCAAAAATTCCAGTTTTTCCAGTCATCTTGAAACCTGCCAAAAGAGTTTTCAGATATAACTGTTTTTTGTCTCTTGTCTTTTCTTCCATAAGTCTTGATCCCTCTTTCCGCAAAATTTGCCTTTAATCCCCACATTTTTAGAGTCAGAGAAACTAATGAAAATAAAATTTGTGTTGTGACTGTTAGTGAACTTTAGTATATAATTTCAACTTTATATTTTGCTATAACTAGCAATTGTGGATGGTTGCATTCCCTCATTTTTCAGTTTTCTGACTCAAGATTCTCCTTGAGTGATTTGTGTGTGGTGTGCTTTACACAGGTGAAGACACAAACCAGCATATCTCCTTCACATTCTGTTGTGAAGAAACAGGTACAAGGCTTCAACCATTAGCCTCTGCAGATCTGCGGAGATGATTGCTGCTGCCGTACACATGGTCACCATGGGAACCACCATGGTCTGTGGGCTTTTCCTGTGCCAGGTGTTTCCTTAGCACTCTGCACAGTTTGGGTCTGAGCAAGCCTTCCAGTTGGGCACTATTCTCTCATTTTGCAGTCCCCATACATGCTGTGGCTGAAGCCACAGCTTCAGTAAGGGAGACAAGAGAACCATCACTGAGCTGCAAACTCAGGCCAGTAGCCAACTCCTAACGTATTTACTGAGTCTCTTTGTCTAGGGGGCATAGGTGGGCACTAGAATTCACATTCTGGTCAACATGTAAGGTATTTATACGGTGGAGAACTGGAAGATGATGTATTTGAATGGTTTCTTTTGGAAATGTCACTGTAACATTTTAAAGGGGAATTCCTGATTACGAGGCACAGAAGGGTAGACATTTTTAGTGACAAAAGGTTGAGCCTATTTTGTTGGGCATTTCTAGTGGCTATAATCATTTTAAAATTTCTATTTAGAAATTTAAAGTTCATACCAGGGAGGTTATTTAACCTATTTCCTTTTCCTTTCTCCCTCCCAGCCCCTGACACTAGATATGGAAACCAGTCTCTACAACCTGGCTCATTTTATTTTATTGTTGTTTTCTGGGAATTCATTGTGTAGATCAGGCTGACTTCAAACTCACAGAGATCTGCATCCTAAGTGCTGTGACTAAAGGCATGTACTAGGACATCTGGCTTACAGGCTGATTTTTTACTGCTCTTCCTTGTTCTACACTGTTTCTTTCTCTGACCCCAGAGAGGTTGTTCTGCTTGAGTGTAAGTTCCTTTACAGGGATTTCCAAGAAGTTCTTAGTAGACTATGTAATAAGCAGAGGAGTTGCCCAGGCTCACTTTCAAGGCCACATGGCTAGTTCAAATTTCTCTATAGACATTTTAGTGTGTGAATCCACTAACTGCTGGAAATGTAGCTGACATCTCTTAAAATAAAGAAGGTAAGTAGGGAAAGGGGAAAAGAAGAAAAGAATTTTGAGTGCTTACAGCAAAGTCCAAAATCAGGTTACACCACTCCTAAGGTATGGACAGGATGACAAGACAGCTACAGTTATTGAGGCAATGTTACTATATGTATGGAGGTCTCTTCATCCTCACAGACAACTCTTACAGGTAGAGACTTCAGGCAAATCCCTTTCCTTTCCTGAAGCACTCGGGTAAAATGAGCAAAAAAATGTAATGGTTGCTTCATTTGATATCATCTCATTTTTCTTTCACCCTATTATGGAGGAAAAACCATTGATAAAGGACACCACATCCCCGACTCCCTGTCTTTCTGAGATCCTTTAGAAATAGATGTGAGCATCTAGGCAGCTTTTTGTTGGGTTCCTTATATGTTTGCATATTTGGATTCTCCTTAAGGTGATTGTCTGAGAAAAACAGGAATTCCTCCCTAGTAACATGCACAGAAAGCACACACCCTTAGGTATATTATACCCATAGTTAGGTATAATTCTGACATTATGTGACTCTTTCCAAGTATCCATGGGTTACAGAAGCCTTGGTGTTGATCAGTAAATAACACAGACAGCTCAATCAAGCATCCAAACCAGATAACAGGCATCAGATATTTGAAATCAAAGAATTATTTCTATGAGGAATTCTTTCTTATAACATGATTCAAGGAACTAACAGATACTATTCTTTTGAGCTTAAAGGGAGCCTATAATATATGGCAAGATGAAGATGAAAGCTTTTCTTGACACCACTGTGATGGTGATTGCTATATTCCAAGACTGATCCCAGAGAACCCAGTGGATCATTCCTTCCCATGTTTTAATCCAAGCGGGATTTGCTACTCTAACTCACTCAAAGGTGATAGGAATGGAAACATGACATTTCTAGGACTGACTTGTAGGAGGGCCTTTCCAATTTTGTCCCTTGTGTTCTGGGCAATTGTGTCAAAAGGCCAATCTTACCAACCGCACAGAGGACCCACACTTGGGACACTTACAGAGATGGAGAAGAGAGGCCCAGCTCACTCCTGCCCTATTGGAACTGAAGGACTGAATACAAAATGCCCAGCACAAGGAAGCTGTGACTATGGTTCAGTGTTAGAATACTTGCCAAGCACCAAGATGGACTTGATCCAGAACATCACTGAACAAAACAATTGTAACAAAAACCAAAAATCAAACAGTAGAGTCCAGGCACACTAAAGTGGGAATGATTGTTTCATTGTTTCTTTTTTTTTCTTTTTTTTTCTTTTTTTTTTGGTTTTTTGAGACAGGGTTTCTCTGTGTAGTCCTGGCTGTCCTGGAACTCACTCTGTAGACCAGGCTGGCCTCGAAATCAGAAATCCACCTGCCTCTGCCTCCCAAGTGCTGGGATTAAAGGCGTGTGCCACCACTGCCCGGCTTGATTGTTTCTTTTAAGGAGAGGGGATTCTGTAGTTTAGCTACAGACTTCTTGCTTTGGTGGCAAAGTCAGGAAAGGGTTTAAAACCCATCTGAGACTTTATTTATTAAAATGAAAGACAGTGTATTAGTTAGGTACTATTCCTATAATGTAACACCATGACAAAAAAAAGGTGGAGAGGAAAAGGTTTTTTTTTTTTTTTTTGTCTTATAGTTCCTTCCACATCATAGTCCACCACTGAAGGAAGTCAGGGCAGGAACCAAAAGAGGACAGGCACCTGGAGGTAGGAGCTGATGCAGAGGTCATGGAAGGGTGTTGCTTCCCTGTGCCCAATTTACCACTTAACCAACATAGGAACCATTTAGAGATAGAGAAGAGCAGCCCAGGCCAGTGCTTGTTCCCCATTATCTTGTTCAGCTGCTTTCTAATAGAATGGAGAATGTCCCTGCCCACAATGGACTGGGACCTCCCACATCAATCATAAATTTAAAATTTTCTCTAGAGCCTTGCCTACGTCCTGACCTTATGAAGACATTGTCTCAGTTGGCGCTTCCTCTTCTCTGATAACTTTTGCTTGTGTGAAGTTGATATGAAGCTAGCCAGCACAGACAGTGTGTAAAATGTGAACTAAAGATCAAAAGACTGACTCTGGCATCATCACATTTGTGCATTGCTACATTCAGATGAAGAGATAGCTCCAAGTGCCTAGCTGGTGATCGTGGAAGTATAACTCATGAGTTGAGCAGGAGCTTACCCACTGAGATATACTCCAGCCCATAGCTAATCTTTTTTTTTAATATATTAGATTTATTTAATTTTTTTACCATTTATCTTAGAAATAAGTTCATTATAGATAAATTGGATTTTTCTTTCTCACCTCTATTTTCAAAGTTCTTTAGAAGTGGCCAGAGGTGGGAATCTAACCTTTTTCTGGCTAGATATACCCAGACCTCAGACTGATATGGAATCCACACATCTCTAAAAATGCTAAAGATAAAGCTGTTTTCCCCCATGAGGACTTGAAGCAATCTCTTTAAAACCATCAGGTGCTAAACTTCAAGTAAAGTAGCTGAGATGATAGTACAATGAAGTTATTTTATTTATTTTCATCTCACTGTACAAACAGTTTTCATGTGTTTTGTAAATCTGTTATGAGACTAGTAGGGAGAAGCAAAGGAATGCAGGGAAAGTGGAACAGAATACTCAGATCCAAGTATATTTGTTTCATCTTAATATTTTACATGCTTTACTTCTTTTTAAATTCTCAGAACTATGTCTGTCACAGACAGTATCTTTCACACTCAGTTCCCCATGCCTTATTCTGTTGATTTGTTTTGACAGTAGTGGACAGGGAGAGGTATTTTACAACCATTATTTCAGTACAAATTTGTTCTTCCTGCTTACAAGGTGCTTCCTTCTGATCCAAAAGATTCCTCTGAAGATAAGTGATTTCAGTGTTGTCATCTGGAGGAGGATGAAGGATGGGCTCAAGTTCCCCCACGAAATAAGCCTGTGACCTACTAAGCACCCATGACTCTCTCTGCTCTAAGGTCTAGCTGCATTTCCTCCAGTTTTTCACCATCAGGCTCTTCCCTCTTCTTCTAAATGAGAAGATTGCTGTGTGCTTTTATTCCCTGAATAGCCAAGCAGCTTTGAATCCAAACTTCACAGTGTCTCGTACATAAACTGAGAATCCCCATCACTGACCCTTCTAACTGCATTAAGAATATTAGAAATTTTCATGTCCAAGAGCTTGTTATATGGCAAGCCCAAAAATGATATTGTGACTAATAACAGTGCTCTTTATTGGAGTCCTTAGTAGCTCCAAGCAAAACCAATTTGATCAAAGACAAGAAAATTCTTATTCTTGAGCTATTAAAATGGCTCAACAGGTAATGGTCCTTGCC